TAGCTGAAGCACTCAATTTGTAGCTGAAAGTACGTAGATTAATCCACTGTTATTGATAATAACAATAAACGACCAGAACACTGTTAAAATCGCACTTTATTTCCAACGGTTGACACTGTATCTCGTCATGCGTACACCGGGTAGTACACTTTGCACAGCTCTTGCACCGTTATACCGATAGCTTTCGTTTAGCTGAAGCACTCAATTTGTAGCTGAAAGTACGAAGATTAATCCACTATTATGGATAATAACAATAAACGACCAGAACACTGTTAAAATCGCAATTTAATCGCGGAATACCACTATTTTTTTCACCGGTGGCGCCATCCGTGGCGAATCGATGAAACTGCTAACCAATTATATGGCTAGCAGTTGCAGAGTTACGCCACGGATGGCGCCACCAGTCGAAAAAATAGTGGTACTCCGCGATTAAATGCGATTTTAACAGTGTTCTAGTTGTTTATTGTTATTATCAATAATAGTGGATTAATCTACGTACTTTCAGCTACAAATTGAGTGCTTCAGCTAAACAAAAGCTATCCGTATAACGGTGTAAGAGCTATGCAAAGTGAACTAACCGGGGTACGCATGACGAGATTCAGTGTTAACCGTTGCAAATAAATCTGATTTTAACAATGTTCTTGTAATTACTGGTTCCCAGCCGTTAGAGAGTATTATTCTACGTTCTTTAAACTTCGAATTTAATGCGGGACGAAGAGAAATGATAGATGCCCGTTCAGCGGTGTAAATGCGATCGAATTAGGGTTGCCGCTCCATGAGGTAGCTGCGGTATTACAGGCATAATTATTTTGACTAATTCTGATGTTTTGCAGTATTGGGTTGATGCATTAAGTCCTCAGGAATAATTTGTGATTAACAGCGTTGATTTTCAGCGCCTAATTACTGAGATATTCGCATTTTTCCATCACTAGAAATTTTCACTCACCTGTCGGTATTATTTGGCTAGCAGTTTGAGCGAATTGCCACTGGTGGCGCCACCGGTCGAAAAAATAGGGGTACTCCGCGATTAAATGCGATTTTAACAGTGTTCTGGTCGTTTATTATTATTATCAATAACAGTGGATTAATCTACGTACTTTCAGCTACACGTCGAGTGCTTGGTCAAGAAGAATGTTGTTCATATAACGCCGTGAGACCTGTCCAATTGGGATGACCGTTTGAGGCTGACGTGCAATCTATATTACTTTATATTTCTATGTCTATAGAATTAACGAACTGAGCGGACTGAGCGTGCTACTCGCCGCGCCGCTAATTTGCGACTGAGCTTTGGATGGCTTTGGAGGAAATGTAAACAATAATTGTAGCTTCATTTAATGCTATGAAAACCTCATGTTGAGTGCAAATATGGATATGATATTTATGGAGGCAATGTAAACATTTAATTGTGAATTGGAAATATTGTTACTCTAAGAGGAAACTGGAATAGTTCTGGCTGGAATTCGTTCACGGTAGCGTCGTAACCTCTTCCTTAGATTGTACTACACGAAGAATTTTTGTACATTTGAATAGATAAACATGGTTGGTTTTCCTAATATTCACGAACGATCTTCTTCGAGAGATAGGTTTCTCTTCGATATGTGACAGCGAGTTAAACCCGTAACGAAAGATGCCTAGACACGTATAGGCAGTGATTATGGAGCATGACTCTGCGTCGAGCTGCGAAAGCTGTCTGAGAGATTTTGATGTTACGGAAGATCTCTCGCGTTCAAGGGAAGTACGAACAATCGAAAATTCAATTTGTACCGCGAGTTCTGCTTCACGGCAGAGTCTCGAAGTCATGGCTTCTCAGCCAAAGCTCAAACTGGGAATGGTAAACAGAAGCCTTTCTTCTCAGGTAATGGAATATTATCACAAATATTCTCAAAATACAAATTTGGATCAATATTTTTCTTTACCCACAACTAGTACATCGCCAGAAGCTGTCAAATATTATTACAGCATATACGAGCTAAATCCCAAATTGGGGACGAATAGAGAAGATTGCATTGGCGAGGAGTACAGTTTGCGTCGGTACGTACCCAGAGAGAGAAGAAGATGGGTGAGGCCTCCTCTTATTGGACAATCTTCAAACACAGATTCATCGACTGGCTACGTTCAACCATTATCAAATCCAGAATCACCATCTCCTGATTTCAAATGCCATACCCCAGAAATTATTATCGAAGAGAAGAATGAAAATCAGGAGATTCTAACAGAAACTGTAGAACGTAAAGTGCCTTCTCCAACTTCTAGTATCGCTTCTCACAAGCCATTGGAATGGGACAGTGGTGCAGATGTTGGTTACTTCAATTCATTGCCTCAAAATAAACAAGGTGACAAAAAATTAAGTACCATTGAGCGTATGGCTTTAGCTAGAGGTTGTTCTGCTGCTTTAAGATTAGATCCCGAAGGTACTACAGAATCTGGAATCTCTGGTAAGCTTGGAGCGCCACAAAGGAACTCTAAACCATCCGTTACACCAGATGCTAATTCCACTTCGTTATTAGGGAATATATCAGGTTCTGAAAGTGAAATTGAAATTACTCCTATTGTGAAGAATCATTTGCCGGGTATAATAGCAGGGAATAGTATAAAGTCTAATGAAAGATCACTACCCAGAGACTTCAAGCAACAGGATACGCTTGTTCAACATTCGCGGAAAGAGCAAAGTAATGATACATCTAAATTGTCATTTTCATTTAAGATACCTACTGCGAAGAAAACAGAGCCAAGGACGACGATAAACAAGCAGAATATAAATAAGGAGAACATATGCCTTCCGACGTCGCCGTTGAAAAAGAGCACATCAATGAATACGTTAGCTATACCGTTCTCTAAACTAACGTTGAAGAGAAGTCAGAGCGAGTTAAATCTATACGCCAAGGATAAAAACAGAGCCGCGATTCCATTGATCTTCAACTCTTCGTCGTCGATCGCAACCATTGTAAATAAGCCTTCCACTTGTGATAAAGTGATACAAACGAGCCTGAACGCTTGCAGCCAAGAGTCCGTTGGCGTTCAGGTCTCTGTTATTGAGGAGGAGAAGCCGCCATTACCAAAGAGAGGAACTAGTTTGCAAAAAAGTATGACTGTAGTGATGAAGAATTCAAAAGGGACGTACAGAGTTCGGAATTCGAGGAACAAGCAACAAGCCGATGGATCCCACGAGGCCGGCGAACATGGGAAGATAACGAAGTCGCGTCGCAGCTGCTCGGAACCATCTGAATATGGCTCGAGTACGCAGACGCCTCAGCCGGACGAGACCGAGAATATAACCGGCAGAGCGAACAGTTTCGAGTATTTCCCTGGCCATATTTACGAGAACGTGCCGAACGGAAGCGGCAGCCGCGTCTCATCTACGGACACAGGCAGGTCGCAGTCCACATTGCCAAACACGAGCTCCAGCATTAACGAGAAACTCTGGGGAGATTCGGACAGTCTGGTCAGGGATCTGGAACGAAGTGTGAACATTTTAAAGAGCTTGGTCGATGCGAACAAATGCGACAAGGATGTGAAGAAAAGACTGATACATCATGTGGTCAAGAGACTTATAACCGCCAAATACACCGACGACAGAATCGAGCATAATTTAGAGGATAACGTACCGTGGAATCCGGACGACGCTAGGAACAAAGTGTACAGAACAGAGATACTACAAGCTTTGACGAAGAAACACACCACCAGCGATTCTTCGGGGGACTGGAACACGCGTAAGGAAACGGCCTGTGATCGAAAACCCATCGTGAACGGACGAGGCATCACGAAGAATGTAGCTTCGGGGAGCAGCAGCGACAAGATCGATAAGCATACGGATAGAACGGAGACCGACGGACGAAAGGCGAGGATGGGTCTCAGATCGGACGATTGTCGTCGAAGCACTAACACACCAACGGAACCGGACAAGAGCGAGAGCTCCGAGTGTTTCTTCCCCCACAGGGGACGCAAGGGGAAAAAAGCACAGGATCTGTTCTGCGCGAAAGAGAGGTGCAAGATATCGCGAGGAGAGTCGAGTATATCGAATAGCACGCCAGCCGATCATAACAGGATGCTGCTAGACGCGGTTCTTAACAACAGAAGACCAAAGAACGTTCGTTCGAGTAACACCGAGGAACAGGTGGACTGGAGATTGTTGACCACCATGTCGGAGAGGCAGTTCGAGATGAAGAAGTGCGGGAACTCGGATTCCGGGGACTCGAAATTGGTCAGCTACGCCGAGATGGAGAAGAGGAATCAATTGATCTGGATCACGAACGAGATCAGCCATTTGTCCAATCTGAAGAAACTATTGGAGGAACCGCGAAGGGTCGAAAGATCCCGAATGTCGCCCAGAAAATCGAGATCAACGAACGTCAAATCGATGCCAATTCCATCGATTGACCGTGTCCATGGTTGCGTCAGAGAAGACGATTATTTGCGACGAACCGAGTCCGACGGACAGGCGAATTCCCTAGACGAGCCATGGTCTTCCCACTGCAACTTGGCAGCATGCCAACCACCTAATAGAATCAACAGCGTGATTCAAAGGATTAGAAAGCGAAATAGCTGTGCCCAAACGGCAACGAACGTTACCAGCGCTCATTCGAAAACCGGCGGTGAAATCGTGTCCGCCTCGAACATCCATCATAGCACGATGAAACTAGTGAACACCGGTGTGCAAACCGAGCCGCAAGAGGCATCCACGATTCCCACCTTGATACAGTCTGAGATCGTGCACTACATCAAGTGTCCCGCCCACAACGCGATGCACTTCCAGAACAGTTTCAAGGGCAACGTGGAAACCACCACTAGTCAGTGTTTGAAGCACTGCTCGATTCAAAACGTGCTGCCTACTTGCGTCTACTGCCTGCAGGAACGCAAGGATCAATCGAACACGGTGCACGGGAACGCTGATCATTATAGGGAGGTAAGTCCTGTGGGTACGCGCACACCATTAAATTGTGCAAATGACGACAGCACAAACTCGTTGGAGATCGTTCACCCGTGCACGAACAAGGAAGTGAATCAGTTCAAGCAAAAGGAGACCAAGAATCAGATAAACGCCTCGAAATCACGGTACACTTGCGACTGTAAACGCGAGAGTAAAAGGCCGATGTCTAAAGGATGCCAGACAAGTCCTACTGCCCAAATGTTACCAACCAATAACGTCTCGAAATGCGAGGAGTGCCAGAAGAAGGTGTCCTCCATGCAAGAGAAGGAGACAGTTGACGAGAAAGGGTGCAACTGTACAACCGTCTGCGAGTGCGACAACGAACAGTCAAAGATGGGGCGGGCAGCGTTGTTCCGATCGAACACGAAATCCCATCAGGATAGTAATGGATACGCGTCGAGTTTCGAGCAGAACGGACGCGTGAAATTGTGCGGCTGCTCGACCGATTGTTCCTGCGAGAACAAAGGTGGCACCCATCATTATGGTCACTGGCCGGAAGCGGAGGATCGGCCGATTCGGATGTGGCCCTACTGTACCAACAACGGACAATCCCCTGTCGAGGCTGCTCAGTGCAAAGTACAAAATAGCTCGAAATGCAACTGCGAAAAAGATTGCTTGTGCAGTAACAGAACGGCCAAGAACGCCGAGGAGAAATTATATGTAAGAGGCTACCAGAGAGGAGCCGGTGATTCCGATCGAAGTTGCAAATATTGTGGGCGCTGCAACGCGGGCACCACGGCGTCGCAGAACGTGAAGAAGTCCGGTTATCATCAGGAGTACCCGAAAGCGGTTGCGTACGAGCTGTCGTTCGCGAAAGAGAAAGTGCCATTACCGAATCGTATTGTTAACGGGAATAAAACCGACGGCTGTGCCTGTAACACGATAAACAGGATTAGTTTGAATAAGAACACTCCGCAGACAGATACTTTACAGGTTAGTATTGAAGCGTGGTCGACTTGTGCTCGATGCGATGGTTTGTCGTTTCTATTGTGATCACTAGTAGTACTAACACGGTTGAACGATTCAAGGATTACCTGACCAGGAACAAAGCGGATTTCGTGAGCAACGCGGAAACGCGCAGGCAGTACATGTCGGAGATATCTCATTTGCGACAATTGCGAAAGGAGAAACGGGTTCAGTTACTCGCGATGGCCAGTACGTCGAGCGTTCTGAAGTCACCGAAGTCTTTCGCGAAACCAACAGGTACGATTCCTATAGGACAATGATTTTTCGCATGGGTCTTTATTGTACAATATTAAAACCTTTTCATTCAGTTTGCACGCTGAAAAAGGTCAGCGACGAGGAGATAAGGCAAAGGCTGCGAAAGCGATACCTGCGTTGGAACGAGGTGAGACAAAAGAAACGGCAGCAGGAGAAACAAGAAGAGACACGGCGTAACAAACTGATGGCGAAGATATTTGGCAAGAAACTGCAACAGAAGGTACTGAGGGGCCAGGTAGATCTGTCCCAGAGCGTTAGCGTTATATCGAACATGTAACGTTATAGATTCGTTTGTACTTGCGTAGATTAAATATCGATTTACGTATCGGGCGTCCACCGACACGACAAACGATAGAGAAACGTACAAAGTAGTTCACCTTTCGTATATACGCGAGAGATTTATTAAAATCTTGTTTTTAGACACACTTCTGCTTTTTCTTCGCAACAGTGCATAATACGTACTAACATCTCGGATTAATGTTTATTTTTGTTAATTTAAGTTACGTTTACGGATTAACGATGAATTTAGACGGGGTACGTAGACGTGTATGAGTTTACGATACGCGTTTTAAATACCAAACCGGAGCGACGGAATAGAGACTCACGGAGGTTCGAAGAGTATCTGGGTTTCTCTGTAGTATATATATATATATATACATATATATAAGAGTTGAAGTATTATATCGCGTTGTTTGACAAGATTTGTGTCTAGAATCTACGGATATTTATATGAAATATTATAAAAGAAACTCGTCTTGCCAAGTTATTTTCATACTAAAAATATATATAGATATATTTAGTAAACGTTGCACGTACGTTAGATCTGATACGGTGATACGATAGCAAGATGTTGTCGGAAGAAGGAATTTCCTCGCAGTGTCCAGGCTTCACATTTTACTGGTAAAATGTCATCGAGGCCTATCCACGCTTGGGAGGGAAAAAAACGTTCGTGACCGAAGCCGAGTCCTTGGGCTCACGAGAAAACTGAAATGCTTTAAGATGAAAGTAGTTTGTTAGTACCTGAATCACAGTACACAATCTTTTACTACCCATAAGACTTAGACGATATAGTCCCTTGAATTTTTCTAATATTTTACCCTTTTTTTTTTTGTATGACGATTATATTCGTTCGGTTATTCAGAATAAAGTGAATATACGTACATACATCGATTGTGTTTTAATTCTTTTCGCATCCCTATACGTGTATGTCACACTCGTTTCTCGCCGCTTCACGCTTTCGGTTCCACTGTGTAATTGTGCAAAAAGATATTTGTCGTCGAACGAATGCGAGAAACTTAGCTGCATTCACTTTAAACGTTCGATATTACTAAGTTGCAAGACTATGTGTTCATCCAATGGTTCTACTGTGTAGAAGAGTCTTGGCTCGAAGAAAAACATCGCTTAAACGTCGACAGCAACCTTGTTCCACTGAAGCAACGCTGAAAGAGAAACCGGTGAACATTAGTTCGTTTTGTTTTAATCGCTAGCCTTTTGTATATAAGAACAATCCAGGGACTTCGAAACAGTCCGATTTCTCCTCGAAACCGAGAACGGTGTGTCCAGTCCTCGAGCCGAACAACAGAATAGCCTGCGAATCGATGAAATATCTGTATTTTGAATGAAACGGTATTCGTTCGTAATCGCGAAATTGATTTTTAAAAAACGACTTAGAAAATCAACTTCTCGAGAGGATGGCTCTTCAAGTCGAAGAGGACTGCGAATTGGATCGGATTTTACGAGAAAAATTCACGACCGAGTTTCGCAAGGGCTACGTCACCGTGAACGGTGTGTGTTTGCCGCAGAGATACGAGGAATTCGCGAGAGCGATCGAGGAGTTTGAAGTTCGAGACGACGATATATGGGTTTGCAGCTTTCCTAAAACTGGTAGACACACACATGCTTGTTTCAATTTGAATGTCGAGAATGACGAGGGCATCTGTGAATTTTACCGTGTGATTAATTGGTACAAACAGGTACAACGTGGACTCAAGAGATGATTTGGTGCATCGCGAACGATCTGGATTTGGATGGAGCGAAAACACTCTTACCGGAACGATTCCCTTTTCTCGAGTAAGTCAATAGAGAAGACCGTACACGGTAGCTTCCGTAATTTATAAACCCACCGTTTCGTTCAGACACTCCATACTGTTCGATTACACGACAATCATACCGCGACACCCGGAGGTCAAGCTTCACGAGCTGGTCTCGGACAGCGTGAATTACGCGAGAACTCGACGGAGTCCGCGATTCATCAAGACTCATCTACCTTTTCGCTTGCTACCGCGGCAGCTTCGTACAGGCGAGAGGAAACCGAGAATCGTCTATGTCGCTAGGAATCCAAAAGACACCTGCATCTCTTATTACCATCACTGTAGATTGATGGAGGGTTATCGGGACGACTTCAACAGCTTCTGTCGTCTTTTCTTGGGCGCGAAAGGTAAAACACGCAGTTATAAATTACTCGTTTCGTTCAATTTCTTGGTCTTCTGTTCTCACACGCAGTCTGTTTCGCTCCATTCTGGGACCACATCCTCGAGTTTTGGGACAGGAGGACCGATCCCAACGTCTTGTTCTTGAAGTACGAGGACATGAAAGCTGTAAGTGACGAATTAATTTCCTCTAATCGATTGTGATGCGTGTGCATTTCTTGAAATTTAAGGACTTGTCCGCGGTGATCGTGAAATCAGCGGGATTCTTAAAGAAAACCATGTCGGATGATCGAGTGACCGCGCTGTTGAAGCATCTCAGTTTCGCCAGCATGAAGTCCAATCCGTCGGTGAATTACGAGGAGGCCGTTGAAATGAACAAAAGGCTGAAATTGATCGACGGTAACGGTGATTTCATTCGTAGCGGCAGGGTGAACCAATGGCAGAGTGAAATGGCTAAAAGCATAATCGAACGATTCGACGAACAGACGAGGGAGAAATTAACGACGCGAAATCTTCTCCTCTAAATTGAATTGCACAGCAATAAACTTTGTTTCGGCAGGATCAGTAGTAATTCGTGTATTGGTCGTCCTTGGCTGCGGTTCGATGGATCGAAGAACTCCTGGCATGCTTGTTCTGCACAGCTGACCGATCGAGGCTTTGGTGGTTGGTGTGACGACGCTCGTGTCGGCTCCTCGTTCGATTAAAATGCAACTCGCGTCCCTTTTCCTTGACAAGATCGCTACTTGAAGAGTAGTGAGACCTGCATTGTCCCGTACTTCGATTTCGGCACCACGGTCCAACAGAAACAGTAAAATGTCCAAATTTGAAAGATACACTGAACAAACAGAACAACTGAAAGATACACTGACTTTTCCGACGATTTAATCGGGTTTTCCTTGATTCCCCTTACCGGATATCATGAGCGGTGTTCGTCCCTGAAAATCTTGCTGATTCACGGAAGTTCCCGAGTCCAATAGGACGATCACGTTTTTCAAACGTTCTCCCACGACGGCGTATTGGAGACAGGTCCAGCCTCTACTACGATAGAAATTCTTTCACAGACTCTAAATTCAAATCATCCGAACGCGATGAATATAAAATCCTTACGTGTCCCTTTTTCCAATGTCCGCGCCGTTTTCCAAAAGCACTTCCAACATCTTCGGCTCTCTCGAGACGTAAGAGGCGTACATCAAAGCGGTTCTCCCGTACGGTTGCGTGGTCGTTTCATCCAAACTCGTGGAATTTCTCTCCAATAAAACGGACAAAATTCGCGGATCATCGCGATCTATGACCGTTGTCAACGGCGTCCGTAGATTCTGCGTAGGGTAATGCAGATCGATCGATGATCGACTGCAATACGTTATCGCGAACATTAACAATTAACATAATCGACTTAGTTCCTACGCATAATATTACTCACTTCTTCGAGAAGAACTCCTTGATTTTCTTGAAGCTGGCAAATCTAAGGAGCCACATAAACTGCTCCTCGATCGAGTCTACAAACGATACTTTATTCAATCAAAACGAACCCTGTATTACGAATATATTAATTTTTACCATTTCGTTCGTAACAAGTTTCACCGCACGACATGAACGATAACGATCCTGTACCTGCAAAGTCCTGTCGGGCTTTCCACCGAAACTGAATCGATCAAACATCCCGCGCATGCTGTTCTCCGCACAACCGTGACACACGTCCTTCAACGATTGAACAAGAACGAAGAAACAGTCATCGAACAGACGCGTGTGTCTCCATTGATAAATGAAGTTTTATCGAGTGGTTTTGAATCCCAAGTGATTCAGTTCTATTCCGTGACTTTACTTCCCCAGTTCTTCGATCATCGAACAACAGATACTCGGAAATAAACGTTAACTACTCGAGTAAAACGGTCAGGCCTTAGTCACCGCTCCGTTCGACTTTTTTATTTTCTTTACCCCGGACACGCCGCATTTCATGTTAGTGAACCACCGGAAGGACGAGAGAGTCCAGTGACCACAAAACACATCGTTCTTCCTCGTTCTCGTGAAGCGTTCGTGTGTTTGGTAGACGGTCGATCGCGATCGAGGAGCCACCTCCAAGAACACGCGTGCACACTTTCTCTTCGAAACGGGGAACCACGTGTGCCAAGGTGGCCGGTGGGAGCGGTTATACTAACCGTTTAGACGGTCGAAGTCGACTTTCTAGAGGACTCCCGCAGGTGCTGCAGAGAACAACATCCGAATCGCGTCGCCGTGTTGCTTTTCCTTTGCTTTCACACGACTCGCGTGTTCTCTCGACGATTTCCAATAGGAATTTCGCGTGTGTTTTTCGGGATTTCGGGTATACACGTGTCGCTTTTGATAACCGTTCCCGAAAGAGAGGATCGCGACGACTCCCCGTGGACGATGAAGCGATGGCGGATGTTACCAGGTGGTGGATAACGCGTGTTCTCGTGACAGTGCTCGCATCCGTGCTGTTCCCTGCTAACGGTACGTTTGTTAATACCGACCGATAAATAGTTTCGAATAACGAATGATAGATCTAAAAGTAGTTCGTTAGTACTAATCGTTTAAACATGGAAATTTTTATAATAAAATAATACTTCTGAATGTTTTATTCGAATAAAATTCTGTCCAACTCTGGACTGTCGAGAGAGTGACGTTCAGTTTTACCCATCGTTCGAGTCTCCAGCGCGTCACTCTACTCGTCGCCATGGTTCTCAGAAATTTCCCCCGAAAACATCGTCTCACCTCGATACAAATAAATTTCAACGTAAAGAATCTTCAACGATCTGGATAGAAACCTATATTCTCGATACCTTTACCGTGTACAAATAACCGTGCGACGAGAAGAATGCCGTCGGAAAATGTTGGTGTACTAAGGTGATCCGGTTCTCGCGATCCGTTCTACAGATCTCTTTTCCCTCTTACTCTCTCTCTCTGTGACCCTGATACGGAGACAAAGAACGGTTCTCGATCTATAATCCGTAATCTCGCGCGGTCAGTGTGCTTGGATAATTCCTAATGAAACGATAAATCGCGTGTGTGTGACCTTGAAAGCCATGAGTCACGATGATGACGAACGGATCAACAGGTTTCGCGGACGAGAACGGCGAAGCGTACAGGGGCAAGTACCTCGGGAAGCTGAACGCGTATCATCATCAGGTGTCCGGTGACGTTTACGTGGTCGACGAGTACACGTTGTTGCTCACGTCGTTTAGCTACGACGGGAACGGGGCTGACACGTTCTTCTGGGCTGGAGCGTCGAATCGACCTGGACCGCAGGGTTTCATCGTGCCCGACGAATGGGGAAAGTTAGTTCTTCCCTTTGACGAAACTGAAATGTCCGTGGATTTTCGCGATTATTCGAGAATTACATGGATCGTTTTTATATTTTACAGAACGAACATCCTCGATCGGTACTTTAACAAGGATTTCACTCTCACCTTGCCGGACAATAAGAAGATAACTGACATAAAATGGTTCGCTATATACGACCTCGGAAGTCAGGTATTCGCGGCGATAAGTACAGTAGTCCATTAATGTTTTGTGATATCGAGGAGAACTGCAATCGATTTTTGTTACCTTCAGAATACATTCGGCGATGTGTACATTCCCGAGGAGTTCGATCCACCGACAGCCCAGAAGATCTCCCAGTTAACAAAACGATCTCACGGTGTTTCTTCTGGGTCGATCGTGATCATAGACTCGAAAACAATCAAAATACCCGAATTCACGTACGACGGTCAAGGGACGGACACCTATTTTTGGGTGGGACTTGGTCCACAGCCGTCCAGCAAAGGGACAAAAGTCCCCGATGAATACGGCTAGTAAGTGTACGAATCGGAATAATTTTCGATAATGTTTCTATCTACGTAACATGTTTCCTTCGTTTATACGATACCCAGTCTAGATCCGATTCGCGTGTACACGGGGGAGGACATAATAATTCAGCTGCCAGGCGACATGACCGTGTTCAACATCGATTGGTTGAGCGTGTTCGACGTGAAGACCAAATCGAATTACGGTTCTATTATCGTTCCGGATGGTCTGAACGTGCCCCCGTCGCTCGTCAAAGTAACATGTTCTTTTTAACTCGTATTATCGTATCACGTTGTTTGAACGGCAAGTACCATTGAACGACTGATCAAAGTACAGGTGATCAAGCGCATGCAGGCCCTACCGAATTGCGTTCAACTTCACAAACGGTTCCAAACCAGCTGGGAGATTTTCGGTCCTCAGATCACTATTCAATTGGCGGGACAAGTGGGTATGTAGCCATTGGCTATAGCTTCTTCTTAATGTTAAATTGAATTCGGTATAACGTTAACGATCCTTAGCCGAGAACGAGTACATGGCGTTCGGTCTTTCCGGTTCGGAGTCATCCAGCCAAATGGAAGGCGCGGACGTCGCGGTGGCTTACATGGACGGGACCAGAGGATACGCGGCTGATTACAATGTCACTGCAAAAGCACCGGTACGTTCGGATCTTATAATAGACTTGCAGTTACAATAACTTCACCATTGGGTTCGGAACAGTGCGGAAAGGTTCTTGGGCAGTACAGAGGAGTTTGCAGGGACGAGTTGTTGGGTGGCTTGGACAGTAATCAATTGTACACCGCCGTAAGGGAAGACGGGATCAATATTATTACCTACAGACGCACTCTCATCTCCTGTAAGTGATGGATTGGAACTTGAAAAAGAAACTAGAGAATTACACGCGAATCTTTTAAATTGTAGCCGATCCAGGAGACAAAGAATACCCTACGGATCGACCGGTCTACGTAGTGTGGGCACTGGGAAGACTCGACAAGAATAAGGAACCGACCTTTCATGATTTCTACCCGAAAAGCGACTTAAAGGTGGAACTGGGCCGACAGGAGCCTGATAACACCTGCATGGACTTCACCGAGAACGACGAGGCGTTGATGTGGGTACACGAAATGTAATTCATAAGAGAAAGGAGAATCGATTCGAGATTGTTCCCTTTGCTCAGAGAACCGTGGGAGAAGGACGAGATATTCGACAGAAGTATACGGGTGTTCAAAGCCACGATCGGCCCGTCTGGCGGGAAAAAGGGTTACCAAGGGATCACAGGGCAAACGTCCACCGGTCTGGCGTGGTACATCGAGGGTCAGCTGGTTCCTGAATTGTATCTCCGTAGGGGACTGACGTACAGTTTCCGTGTTCACGGCGGGAACAATCCTCACAGTTCGAACCTGTATCATCCGTTGATTATAACGGACGAACCGCACGGCGGCTACGATCGGCTTAGCGACGCGGCACAGAGTAAGGTTAGAGTACTGGCCGGCGTTGAGTTTACCAGACGTGGTCAGCCGAGACCAACCGCAGGTGTATATAAAGTCGCATATATATTTTGAATGTTGCTCGAAACTGTACGAACGTATGTTGACGAAACTAATTTCCAGTTGGTCCGCTGTGTTTAAGTAAACACGATGAACGGGACAGACGATTAGACGACGATTTCTCGACGTTCAAGCAATTCAACAGAACATTGGTGCACAAATGCGAACCAGGTAACGTGAATCGACAATGCGTGTCGATGCCTTCCTGAAACATTCGAACGATAAGTATTTTGTTAACAGGGGATGGTGGAGTCTTAGAAGTCACCCCGAACTCTACGTGGCCGGACATCGTTTATTATAATTCGTTCACTCACGCGAATATGGGCTGGAAAATTCACGTGGTGGATGTTTACTCGAGAAGCGTCGCTGTCTCGCAGAGACTGTCGCTACTCGCAGGACTAACGGCTGTGTTGCTTCGTTTGTTATTAAATTAAGTATAAGTAGTTACCGAGATTAATCGCCATCGGCCTCGCTACGCGAATGTACATGTTGACTGAAAAAGATAAGATTTCGATTAATGATTCGCGCAGACCGTTTAGTTCCTACACGAGAAATGAAGGCAAATCGAATTCATAGATGTGACATTCAATACCTAACGTCATCGATCATGGACTTTATCTGCTCTCTCAACGTTAATAGTTCGTTTATCTTAGCACCATCCATAGACTGATATATCGTATCGGATGTTATCTCAACAAGGAAAAATGTGTATCTTCTGTAACGTGATTAATATAACAAGCAAATAAAACATTTGTTATTTATTATATATGTATAACACGTATATCAAATTATAAATTTAAATATTTAATTTCTTCTTTACAACGAACAGATACAGCATTCTTGTAGTGGATGTATTTTAAACTTAGGTTCCAAGGGATTTACAACAATGTTTGTCTCTACAAACTACTATATATGGCAATACCCAAACATAGTGCTTTTTTGGCATTAAAACTGATAGCTGTGTTCTCACATCTCGTTATTGATATTTTTCCAATGAATTGGATTCTCATCCCGTAAAACATACTTTTAGAACTGTCGCATCATTCCATTCACACCGATCCAATACTATATGATAATTCTGATTAGCTAATTACTACTATATACAATCGATTATACGATATCCAACATAAAAATCATATTAAAATATCTTTATTGCAACCAGTCTTTTCAAGTCGGATACTTTATCGGACTAATACTTCTTTACGATTAAATAATTTGTAAATCAATTAAATTTATTTGCATCGCACACGTCGGCGTGTCTTTTTTCAAACGAATTTAGCACTAGAATGAAGAAAAGAAGAAAATTCAAACTCACGTTATCTTCACGGTATATCTTACGATTTTTTATGAAATTGTACGAATTGGTGAAGCGAGACAGGCAATTCTGTCCACTGAATGCCGCATTTTAGAATAGCCCGGGCCGCCCAACACTTAAGGCTCATATAATTTGCAAGGTTCATCTTAATTGCTGAATTGGAAACGATCATCTGTATCGGAGTTTCTCCTGTTCTATCCACTACATCTATATGCGCTCCATAGTCCAATAACAATTTGATTAGCTATGTCACATAAACAAATAATAATATTTCATGCTTTTTTATGATTATGCTACACAACCAGAGAGCTGACAGAGATACTTACAGAATTTTCAAAATTAAATCGGCTGCTTGCTATATGTAGCGGTGTGGTTCGCTTTATATTCATAGCATTGACATTTGCTCCACATTCCAGAAGTAATTTAACCACTCCTAAATGTGGAAAAATTATCTGCAAAGGTATTTAATATTTTTTATACATATTTTATCTAACTTTTATCGAGAATCAATGTAAAAATTTACATGGGTGCGACTAGTATAGATGTAAGTAGTCTCAATTGTATTCTGTTCAGAAACACAAAGATGCAGAATTGTATCTTTTAATACCGCTGTCCTAGGATTTTGTTTAATTAAGTCGTACACTAACTGTCTAGTTATTGCTTTTTGATCATCCAACTTTCCTGTCTCTACTAATAAATAGATAAGATGTGTTATACATTTTATGATTCCATTATAACTGTCTTGATGTAGTTTATACACTGGCTGAATCTGTAGTGAAATGAGTGCATTAAGTCGAGTAACAACCAGAAGCAATTAGAAAAATGAAGCGAACCACGTGTTACCTGCAATAATTCTTTGGCTTCTGTTAATTGACTGACAAGTAATTTAAATATCGCCACTACATCAGAAAACCTTGGTTCTTCTTTATTTCGATTACGACGTTCTGATGTTTTCTCTTTAAAATCAATCATAAGTTTTAACAAGCTTTCAGCTATAGAACATGTATCTATATACAAAATCTATGAACAATGCAAAATAGTTGAGAATCCGAACTTTTTGTATAAATATTAATTATAAGAAATTCTAATTTCATTACCGAATCTTTCTCCACTCTAATTTCTAGTGTTCGCCGCCATAAATCTATACAGCGTTGATATCTTAAAACGTCTACATACGAGGCCCCCCTGAACATTAATCGATACAATGTGTTTTTGTGTCGAGGACCTAATATTCGTTCACATATTAATAGACTCTGTGTTGCAAGGGCATCAAAATTAAATTGGATTGCATTAAGCTCCTCTAATGTTGTAAATTCAGTTGCATTTTCGTGTGTATCGCGTTTTGGTAATACCGGCCTTTTTGGTAGAGGAACACCATCAACTACATTAGCATTTCTAATAGCCAATGCAGATCTCCAATATTTTAGTGCCATTTCAACATCATCATAATCATTAAAAAATGTCGACCCCATTAATTCAGTTGCATCTGCCAATCTCTCGGGCGAATAAGATATTTTGTTCACTAGATACGTAAAAATTTTATCGGCCCCTTCCAGGCAAGCTGTCTGAAGAGCATCATCGTTATATCTAGATCTGATATGAAGATCCGCATTATTTTCACAAAGAAATTTAGTAGTTTCAAGTCTATGCTCTTGGATGGCAAAATGTAGAGCAGTCTTATTCTGAATATCTGTGGCATTTACATCAGCTCCATTTTCCACGAGAAAAGTACATAGTTCCACGCTTTGTACAGAATTTATCAAACATGTACCACCATTATAACTAGCTTTATGTATGTTAGCACCATTTTCGACTAAGTATGAAACAATATCTGAAAGCAATAAAATATATTTTAGAACATAATACTAAGATATTGCATAACATTGCATACAAATCTTGCCAAATAAATTTATTCACCTGCCAAGTCATAGACCTAGACCCAGCTATAGTTTTATTTTGGACACAATACTATTCATGTATGTGTACTATATTAATAAGATTGTGAAACCACTGTATCTGAACATTATCTTTCTGCAATGGATACTTTCAATGAAAGACATTACCTATTTGAGTCGTAAAACAAGCCGATCTCACTGGAGTGGAACCAGAATCAGAGACTGCATTGACATCAGATCCATGGAATATCAAGCATTTCATGACTGGAAGTTTCCCAGAAATTGCAGCACACCATAATGGAGTAACATAATGTACAGACGGATCATTCGGGATTTCATATTTTCCTTTTTGTTCAATATTTGCATGACACACACTGATAAGGTATTCCACAATTGCCACAGTTCCCCTTTTGCATGCGATGAATAAGGGTGCACAATCATCCTTCATTCTAGATACAATATGTTTTCTTAATTTTATTGGGAATCCTTCTAGACATTGTTTCAGTTTATTAGTTAGTTGTTCTCTATGTTTACATTCAAAGATGAGAATGTTAAATACCGAATCCATCTAGGGTTCTATCTGTATCCCACCTGTGACAAGGTATGTAAATTAAGATTCTGGTTAACTTGTATGTACCATATATAGAAAACAATGAAAATTGATCCCTGACGAATCATTGGACTTCAGCTCTTACAACTGAGAATGTATTGAACCATGTAGGTTCAATGTTACTATGATATTACACATATAATTGAATGTACTGAAGCAGTATTCAAGTAAGAAAACGGTGTTATTGTACGAGTTTCTAATTAAATCGGAACCAAGAGAATGCACAGATACCTAACTATAACTTGATAATTCCCATTCACAATGTGGCGGTGCATGTGTACATATTGAAATATACAGATGTTTCCGTAGCAGTAACGCAATACACATGGAAAGTATCGAAGAGAAAGGCGTCAACGGAGTAGGATATCGAGGAAAAAGTTGTTTTCACGTTTACTTTACGCGCACGAACCGTTAATGTGGCACAGATTATGAATGAGATACTTGTACACTTCACAGAAGGGACACCTAACACGGACCACGGTCGACAACAAAATGAAACAATGTAAACGCACTCGTCATTGTCCGCGCATCGCCAGGTAACAAACCCCAGACGATAAACCACGTGATTAGAGTCGCAGGTAGTCACGTGCTGTATTTACGTGAACGAAATTTAATTTGAAATTTCATACGACTGTTCATCGATAAACTTTGAACTTGATTTGCAATTCAACAATAAGATTCTTTATATTCCTCTACCTGAATGAATAACGGTACCATTTCATCATATGGCGATCTTAAGCACGTTACGTCGTGCCCCATATAGAGTTAAGTGCCTGGTGTCGGATAATTTCTTTCATACGAGGCATCCACTTTCTCCAAAAGTGAAATCTTCTCTATCGAGAAAGTCAACGAGATCAGGATACAATGTGTTATTAAACGAATGATAAAATTCTCGTTTTTCTATAAGACGATATTACAGAAAATTGTGGTAATGATATTGGTCATTATCCGATGAGCTTATTGTTTCTGTCCTGCGTGCAAAGTTTATCAGCAATTTCGTCGTCTGTTAATATGGAGTTTCTTTTCCGGGTGGACATGCGACACGGTACAGGAATTGAAAGTTGTTTCTGTTAAAAAAAAGAAAAGAAAAAGGACCGAGTCCGGAGCACGGAGAGAGAACGTAATCATGCTCAGTGGACATTTCTGACCGAACCACAGCAGCAGAAACATCTCGTTTATCTGTGAAAAACGTTTACACGAAATTTTTCCGACGAAACATCAGTTATCAAGTATGTGATCGTTTAACGTAACCGTACACACACACACACATATAAATATATATAAAACAGCTTCCTCAGAGTGGAACCGGGACAATGTTTAATGCCACCTCAGTTCGTATTTTATGGGTCGAGGATACGAGATACAGAAGTTTATAAGGACGATGTATGGATGCTGTCGTATCCACGAACTGGTAAATCTAAATTTAAAAAATTCTATTCATGTATGAAATTCAATTGTTTCTTATGTATTCCCGCATACTATCCTCTTTTTATATTTGTATCGTACATTATAGGTAGCCATTGGGCACAGGAGATGGTATGGTGTATTGGAAACGATTTTGACTACGAAAAGGCGCGGACTTTATTGGTCGTACGCAATCCGTTGCTGGAGTAAGTTCTGATGTTTACGTGAACACATATATAACTGATATTTTCTTTAATCACCAAAATGCAACGCATACAAAAGCAACGACTAGAATCAATGGAATTCTGTTCGTTTAGAGCCTCAAGTCTGATGGTCACGGGGGAGTACGTGGAATGGTTCGCGAAGTTGGGTGACTCAGTAGCGAACGTAGAAAAAATGCCACGAACTAGATATATCAAGTCTCATCTGCCTCTGGAACTATTGCCACAACAGATCCATCAAAAGAAACCAAAGGTATTCATAATACATACCAATGAAGAGCGTACAATGCGTAAAAAAGTAATTGTCATACCCTCACGAAGTGAACGTTTCAGATCATCTACGTTGCTAGGAATCCAAAAGACACGTGTGTCAGTTTTTATCACTACTGTAGGACGTTTCACAGCATCACGGGTACCTTCGAGGACTTTGCAGAACTGTTCCTCAATGGATACAGTAAGCATTAAAACGCGTGCGCAGTCGACTAGATTTTACTTGTTCCCGTTTCGCGTATTTATTTCTTTTCCTGTTTAAGCTCCGATGGGGTCATTTTGGAGTCACGTGGTAAAATTCTGGTCAATGAGGAACAACGACAACGTACTATTCTTGACTTACGAGGAAATGAAAAAGGCAAGACATTATTCATCGGTAGTTCGATGACGAACAGCTGTTTTAATTTACGGCGACAAGTGTTTTAAGCGAGCCATTGTTTTTTTCAGAACCAAGCGGAGGTGATCGAAAGAACGGCGACATTCTTGGGGAAAACCGTAACGGAGGAGAAAATTGCGAAGCTCACCGAGCATCTCGAGTTCTCCAAAATGGCGGCGAATCCTGCGATAAACATGGAGCATATTTTGCCGGAAGGGAACGTGTCGGAGAATAATAGATTTATAAGGAAGGGCAAAGTCGGCGATTGGAAGAACTATATGTCCGAAGAATTGTCCCGGAGATTCGACGAATGCACCGAAAGGCATCTACGTGGAACTGATCTAGACTTCGACAAGTATACTGACTCTCACGACGAGGAATGAAAAAAAAACTGTAATCTCTTTTAAGGAAACCTCGCACGAGATCTATACCTATGTAATATAATTATATTTCTCGATTGTTGTATCGCACTGACGTTACCCATGACAAATGTATAACAAAAATGTATATTATATAATGAATACGTGTCCTCATGGAAATGTTTGTACTTTACTCGCGTGTATCAATTTTATGTATCGTACAATAAAAAAAATAGTAAATAGATGATCGAGGAAGTGTATATGTAATCGATCTGTAGCGACGATAAATTAACGCCTCTTATTTCTTAATTACGGTTACCGACGGACGCGTTTTGTCCGTGGTGTAAGACCGGTTTTCTCTTAATGGCAACTGACTTCCAATCGTTCTTTAGACTCGTGTACTCGATTTCTATGTGATTACTTTTAAACGAGGAAATAGAAAAAGCCGGAATTAACAGACATTCTCAATAAAACGGAGCGGTCGTTAGTTTTATTTATTCGTAAGAGTTCGTCGGACGAGGGATTTACTTGTAGGCGAGTCGCGGATTCGAGAATCGCGCCGCGTTCTTTCATTCAACGTACATATAACCAACACGCACGACGTTGGATGTCAAAGCAAAGATGGCGTTGATTCGTGTTGTGTCAGGTGTTTAAAGTTCCTTTAAAAACCCTTCGGAGTTTGACATTGCACACGGCCGTGACACTTCGATCGTTAATTTATTCCGTTCCACGGCCTTGTCGAAGGTCGTCAACTGGAAAAAAAAACGCGAATGCGTCTGTCAAGAGTCACGTGTAACATCGCCCGCTAGTTGCAGCTCAGTGCTTAACCTCAGCCATCGCAAGTGCTACACGGTTGTCTATCGAATACCCGGAATATTCGGAGGGAAAAGACATCGATGTTGTCCGTTTGATCTAAGAGAGTCACGAATTTTCATTGAGTGATCCGAGCACAGCATCAACGACGATCGTTCCGCGTTGTATAATAGGAGAAAGCTCTGGGGCGAGCATTTGTCAATTCGAATTTGAATTCTGCTACTCCGGGCTTCGTTCGCCAAGTGTTATATCATTTTTAAGCTGCTGATCATATTGAATTGAATGCTGGTGGATTACACTCCTGGGTGAAATGCCTAAAATAAGAACCAAGCAACCGAATAGCCTCTGGTTAAGGCAACGTGAATTGGGCATAAAGTTTCCTTTAGGACATGCAGATCGCTTTCATAAAACCCTTTACTCTTCCATACAGCCTGTAACTTCTTGGGATCATGCGTTATCCTCTGCAACTCATGGAGGAGTCTTTAATTTAGAGTATTCTCCAGATGGGTTAGTCTATAAAATGTTTACAATTTAGATTCTTCTCAAGTATCGTATGCATTAACAAGACATGTATTTCCATTGTTTGACAGTTCGCTCTTGTTGGCTGCATGCGAGAGAAAAACTATTTTAATGTTTGATCCTCTGAGGAGGAGATTAATACATGCAATAGAAAATGCTCACAATGACTGTGTTAATTGTGTTAGGTACGTATAATGTATTTGTGCATAGCCTCTTGAACAATACATCATTCTAATCATCCTTCGTAATAGGTTTTTAGATCAACGTATGTTTGCAACCTGTTCAGATGATAGTACAGTAGCCCTTTGGGACGCTAGAAATTTAAAGCAACGAATTAGAACTCTCCATGGACATTCGAATTGGGTTAAGAATATTGAGTACAGTCCCAAGGATAGCTTATTACTAACCAGTGGATTCGATGGTAGCATATACACTTGGGACATAAATACATTTACCGAAAATAGTATTCTGTATACTCGTGTGTTTCATACAAATGGACTGATGCGTACTAGACTTAGTCCAGATGCTAGCAAAATGTTGATAAGCACCACTTCTGGATACCTCATGATTATACACAACCTTAAGTTAAGGACTCTATCTCAAGACCTTGCAGGATTTAGAGTATGTTTAGTTTTCCCAGTGATCGATTTGTCGCTAGTGTGTTACATTTAAAATTATTGGTATATTTTTATTGCAGCCCAATATGTACCGGTTGATGCAATCCTCGCAAACCACAATACCAAACGTGGAAAGTTTCACGCATCTCTTTTCCAATTCCCGTACCCACAATAGAGTAGAATTTTTAACTGATTTTCCCGTCGGCGACGATGCAGAGATAATATCGAGCCTGCAAGTGCATCCTCAAGGTTGGTGCGCTTTGTCTAGGAACGTCAGCAATGGAGAGAAATCTGAGGTTGGTTACAACAATGTTAATTACTAGGACGATTCTTTGTGTCCATTGTTACCGGTTTGTTTGTACGTTACAGTGGACCTGTATTCACGACATACAAGAACGCGATACGTCTAGTACGGCGGACGAAACGAAAGAAGGGGAGGAAACGGGTCCTCAGTTCAACGACGTAACCGTCGAAGAATTCGAAGATTTTCAGCAGCCTCAACCGTCGCGATCGGGTATAACGTCCTCGTTCCTAATAGAGAATCCAAGTCGTGTCAGGGTGTTTCACAGAATGTCCGACGGAAGATCGAACTCGCATGGATCCTCGGATAACGGGCAATCGAACAGGTCCTCGCGAACCAGCTGGCAAGGCACGTCTCGTAGAGCGTCACGGTCACAGTCGAGGAATTCGCGTTCGGATAGGAACGCGACCAGAGCGAATCTCGGCACGGTCGAGGTTAGCTCCAGTTCCGGGTCATCCGAGTCACGGATAAGCGCGGACAGAGAGGACGCCAGACAGGAGGAGAGAGACGTATACGATACCAGCGAGAACGAGAGTATGCACGAGGAGGCTTCCACCGATCCGGATCGTGATTTTGTGATAGATTACAGTTCCTCTAGGCCGAATTCTCATCTGAATTATATACGACGCAACATGATCGACAACTTTTCGACCGGTAATATAGAATTACACGTGAGCACGACAGACGTGTGGGAGGCGCACGTGGCGATCAGAGAAGCTAGGCTTAGAAGAGAGAGGGATTGGCTTTCTAGATCGAGTAACAACACGGTCGTCATTATCGGCGACAGGACCAGGGTACAAAATCAGAATAGGCAGGGTCAGCAAACGATGTACGCTATCCCGAGGAACCGTATGATCCATCAGAACACGCCCAGATTAACCCATTACATCGAGGAACCAAATGTCGGTTCCGGTTACATCAAAGAATTGTGCTTCTCGGCCGACGGACGACTGATATGCTCACCGTTCGGTTACGGTGTACGATTGTTAGCGTTCTCCGGCGACTGCTCGGAATTGTCCAATTGTGTTCCCCCGTTCAACGAGTCCGTACAGTTGCACGAGTTGGCGACAAACGTCAGCCATTCCGGGATCGTGGTTAGCACGAAATTTTCACCCAGGCACTGTTTACTTGTTTCCGGTTGCCTTGGCGGGAAGATAGTGTGGCACGAACCGGTAGTTCAGTAAGAACAATTTTTTTTTCTTCTTTTCTGTTATGGAATCCATCCCTCTGGGAACAAGTCTTGATGATGATGATGATGATGATGATGATATATATATATATATATATATATATATATATATATATATATGTGTGTGTGTGTATGTACATGATGTGCCGTTTTTCCTCTTCTTTTGTTTTCGTTTTTCTTTCCCGACGAAGAAAAAAATTATTGGTAGCACGCAGTCTGACTTTCTCCTGGGTATATATTATATACTTCTCAAGATACGCTCGCCAAAGCAATAGTATTTTTCACCGATATCGGTCAGCGAACCCACGCATCCGTTTCCACGGAATACGTAATATACATATATCTCTCAGTAATAATATTACGGCAGAGTACTTGTCTTTTGTATCGCCATGGAGCACGTGCTGGCGAGCTGTTACTTTAAAACTTGTATCTCAGAAACATTCCTCTCACAGTACTTGTACATACATCCGTAGAACGACGTCGATCGCGCGTTTATCCGTGATCGTGACAGTTTTTTGTGTACTCGACACGTCTGTACCGAGACTGACTCGTTTCGATCTCAATTTATCGTGTCTCACCACCGCGAACAATTCAACCAAATATCCCGGAGGAGTTTAAATTCCAGAAGAGGCACATTAGACGATCGAACCTCTGCCGATTTGTGTCGTACGCGATAATCGTATGTTTGTGCTCGCCGGAGAACCGTATCATTGGTAGTAAATTTACTAGCCGATCAATCGTTGCGAGTAAGTATGTAAGAGTGCCAGACTTGGAAAAATCATGCGACGACAATTTAATGGAACCGAATAATTCCACTGGTAGTGGGGTCGCCGAGGATCGATAACATTCTCGGGGATCGTTATAGAAATGGAAAAGAGAGCGCCGTTGATCAACCCGCCTCGAGACTTCATTGATAGCCTAGAGAAAGATAGAAAGAGGGAGACAAAGGGCGCAGCCTCTAAATTTCTAAGTCGAGCTACGTAAGATGATGTTGCGTTTGGATACAATGAATTTCAAAGTACACAGGAGTGAATAATTATTAGGAGAAAAGGAGCTGTATACTCAATTAGGTTTTCGTGTTTCCCTTTCTTTGTAATAATCGTTCGTAAGAGAGCAATCGATGCTTTAGAACGATTAACAAGTCAAACTTTCTCCGTCACAATAGAGCAGGATCGGGGCAAGTGTCCTCTTTGATCCTAAACCTTCCTTCTCCCTACACCGAAACACGGCCAATAATTTCAGCGAATTTGTATCGTTAAGGCTGGGAAGATGTGTAACATATGTAAATACATCGTCGACTTAGATACGTGTAATAATAATAATAATAATAATATGTGTAATAACAAAATACGTAAGGCGTTCGCGTTCGTAAGCGAGAGTCTACTTTTAAGATGAGGGAAGGAAAAAGAGAGAGAGAGAGAGAGAGGGAAAACGAAAGTTCTAGACATTGTCAATTTCGGAGAACATTGTATAAAAGGTTCGGGGATATCGTGCAATTGTTCATTGGAACGGTTCAATGTTAGTTTGTTTTTTTTTTTCGACCGAAGCATTCGGAGCGTCGCCGTTTCCATCGTGACGAGGAGCCGAGAGAGCGAGTCACGTTGTCGATCGGATAGACCTTTTAATTTTTTTGCTCAACGATTCTATTACGAAAGAATCGCACCGACGATCGATTGCCATCAAATGGATACTTAAAACGACCGAATTTCAGACTTTTTCTGTAACGGTAGTTTCGTCAGTGGCTTCCGATTCCATCGTGAACGTGTGACGAGCGAGGAATGTTCGTGTGACTATTCGTTGCGTGGGTCGGTTCTCGGCTTCTTGATCGTCGCCAGTTCCAGTTGACAATTGCGTCGGAATATAATCAAGGAGACAGGCTGATTCGTCGCTCGTACGCTCTTACTATTACAACTTATACGATCGTGTACAGTAGTTAGTGTGCTGATTGTTTTTGTAAGATTTGTTTGTTTTTTTTTCTATACAATAAAATATATTGCTTAACGTCCGACGCTCGTCTTTCCATCGAATTTCCCTCCTCCCTTCTTTTTTTCTTATAATTACTCTTCGTTTCTTTCTTCTTCTGTTTTCTTACCACTTACGATTATCCATCCTGTTGAAAGAGAGTCTGGTCCATTTTACGATCTTTATTAACAATTAACTTATGTACAAGTGTATATACTCTGAAGTTCAACAAACTCTTGATCCTAGCACGTAGGCTGATACAAAACAAACGAATTCCTTCCGTGATTTCCTCTTGGCACCTCGAGAGACTTGAAATATTTCTCGAGCGCTCAAGGCTTTACTTTTTTCGTTTTATTCGCCTTCCTTTGTGTTTTTTTTTTCTGCCGACACATTTGTAATCGTTATTTGTATTTAATTATGCATGGACGCCTTTTGTCGAACACGAATATTCTCGGTGGAAGAACCGACAGTAATTCGATTAGATTTTTTATATATACGAATAAGCAATCGGCAGTATCCATGGTTAGCGATGGGATCGATACCGATACTATTGATGATATTGAATCAATTCGGTACCGAAGTACTGAATGGAAAGTATCGATACGTATTGAAATTTTGGGTACTTGGTATCCAATATCGTTACCGGTTCCTCTTGAATCGGTACCAAAGAAGTATCGAGGAAGTATTAATCTTTTTCGATACCAACGTGTTTGATATGTATCAATACTGGATCGAAATTTGTAGAATGGTATTGGTAGTATCGATTCGGTATCAGGCCTATCACTACCCACGGTTACCTGCGGAATCGTCCATGTACGATAAAGGGACGGTGGATCTTGTTAATAAATAGCCTAAATAAATAAGTAAAACGGTGAACCAGTACTTTTATGGTTAGTTATATTCCTCTCCCGTGTTATCGCGTCGATTATATTTGTCCATTAATCTCTACGAAGCTTCACGTACACACACCAATAATAATCGACGAATCGCCGCGGCATTCGAACATTTTATTCCGCACGTCAAACCTATCGCCAGAGGTCGCGTCCGAGAATGCTTGCGCGCGTGAATCTTCATTTAATACGGAGCTGTTTCCCGACCTGATCGAATAAACACGAAGGAACAGAGTTTAAACGTGACTCTGGGTGTGGCCCCTTCTTATTCCGAAAATATCCCCCCCGTTGTCCAACGCCACGGAAAAAGGCTGATGACCATATTTTCCTAAGGGAAAGGACCCCATGGAATTTTGTCTATAGGATCCCGCGAAACATCAACTTGACCGCGAGCTTTCGAAAACTATATTATAGTAAATCATCGATGAGTGTACGAACCTAGAAGCCTTCGAACACTCATCGATGATTTCTTGTATTATCCGTCGAACACCGAACGAATTTACACCATTCCTGGAAGTCCTGTTCCAATCAAACGAGCCACACTCTCAAATGATATAGTAGAAGACAACGGTCAGAAGGATGTATCCGAAATTAGCCACGATCGCGTGACCGGCGTTTACAAGCAATGTCGTCGCGTGATTCTGATGCTCCTGATGATCATGATGATGTTGGTTCGTCTCAGTGTTATTCATATGGGACTGTACACCGTACACGTGACCCTCATGAGGAGATCTTCTCGATCTAGTCACCAGAGTTAGCTTCGTGTTCGGTGGACGACGTTTCTCAGATTGGTTTTTGTCCGAACGAATCTCCTCGGGAATCGGGGGCGGTAGTTCACCCTTGAATCGTCTGAATTGTGGTGTTCTACTGAGTACATCCGTGGACAATCTACCCGATGATCGTTCGTCGATCCCAGAAATCGATCTCGCCAGACCGGTGTCCTTCAATCGTTTCCCATCAAAGGTGATCAACACACCGGATGAGGATGAGGATTGGTATTCGTTGGGAATCGTGCTTGAAACTGGAGGCAGATAATACGCGTTTGATCTGTCCGCCGCCATTTCCATATCCTCTGTTTCCCCTGGTCGCGATTTCACCGTTCCAGTGGTCTTCTTCTTTGGTTTCTTCATCGTATCCACTGTCGGAACGGGAGGTGAGGGTATGAAGACCGGCTCGAAATTGTCGATCGGTCTGTGGTTCGTAGCTTCTTGCACCAATGTGTCATCCTTTTGCTCTGCTTGCTCTGTGATTCTTCTCTGAGCCACGTCCTCGATTCTGTCCACAGTTTTGATGATGGGCTTGAAACCACCCTCGATAACTATCGAGTCAGGATTGAAACCCGTATTTCTGGCCGGTTTCATGGGTATCACAAGCACATTAGTGGATTCGTCCACCGTCGACACTTTCGCTTCTACCTTGATCTGTGGCTTGGTCTCGATCTTCTTCAGCTTGACGATTTGAGGACTACCGGGTGACAGTTTCTCGGAGGTACGCCTGTAAGTAGAAGATGCTGGTCTGTAAACGGCCTTCTTCCGTTCCATGAACACAGGCCTGGACGATAAGGGTAGGCTGTTCGTTTGCGGCATCGTGTGCATCGGTGTCTGCAACATCGGACGACGCGTCAGCATCGGTCGCTTGATGATCATCAACTGCGTCCGTTGCTCCGGCTGATGGTGATGATAATGATGCTGGGACGGCGACGGCAACGATTGATGATGGTAAAGATGATGGTAATTGGTCGAGTGTTGATGATGATGAGGCGGCAACGGTCTGGAATATAGGATCTGTGGCCCGTTCGCGGCCGTGTAAGTATATTTCGTTCCGTGGCTCATTGGTCGTGGGTTATCTGCAACGAGGTTAGACATTTGCTGGTTAGTGGGCGACTGTTGCTGATGATGGAGTTCATGCTCGATCTCTGTGATTTGTTGCCGGCCAGGGGGATAGGATGCGGGGGACGATGACGGTAGCCTGTTGCCGCCTCCTTGCGTCATCGATTGTTCGCGATAGATCGGCGTGAGTTGTTGATGATGATGATGATGATGATGATGATGATAGTTCTGATGGTGATTCTGATGTTGCTGCAAGAGATCCTCGTCGAGGTGCGCGTGATGATGGGTTTCCTTCACGCGTACCTCGTGACGATGTGCCGACTGGTCAGGGGTTGTGTACGAGGACATCGAGCCGTATGGTTCCTCGTATTGTGACGATGATTGCAAGCGCGCATAATTGTTGTTATTATTATTATTAGCGTTCGTTAGTAGCTGCGTGTATGATGCGCTTAGCTTGCCGTGGTTAGTAGCCGTTGGATGATCGTAAGAATAACGAAGCCCGTTGTCACGATGCGGGGGATGATGCGGTAGATGCTGCTGAAGAAACTCCGCGGTGGGCGTTACCTTGCTCGCGACGCGAATACTGGAGCTGCCCTCGAGATCCTCGTCCCTCGGACGTTGCTCGTCCGGGGCAATAGCGTAAACCTCCTGGTTCTCGCTGCTTGCTGCGGCCACACCCGTGGTGTCGCAGCTGTCATGGACGTTGATCTTCCAGCCCAGATAACGATGGGTGTAACACTATGTGCATACGATATGTATCGCCGATGATATCGTGTATATACGAGTCGTAGATCGAGAAAGAGGGAAACTTCATCCTCTGATATGGTAAGGTCCGGGTCACCTTACCATTCAAGGGTTAAATGTTACGCACGTACCTGATAGTACACCGTGTCGGGGGTGTTCTCGTCGGGTGTCCATTCGACGTAACCAGGCGAACCGTCGTCACACTCGAGGGTCAGAGTGCGTTGATACGCACCGAACGATGAGAATTCGTCCGCGGGTGGTTGATTCTGATCCGGGACCCAGTTGCACAAACGTCCGACACCAGTCGCACGGTATACACCACGATGTCGTTGGGCACCAGCGAATATCTTAACTTTCTGTACGCAAGAAGGACATACACCCGCCAATTCACTATTTCATCCGATGATTCATCAAGTTCATGGTGGTCTCGAACGATCAAATTATCGGATTATCGACGATATTTCAATGCAACGATGTAAGACCGTATAAAAGTTTAGAAAAAGTAATATACACTGACTCACGTGTCCGTTTGTATACTTTAAAAATTATAATTAAGTGTACAAATTTTTATGCTAACTCTACTTCTGTAACCTCGCGATTTTTACTTCTATCACGCTTTTATGATAAATTTTTCTGAATCTTAAAATAAGATTTCTAGTTTCGTATGTAATCCAATGAAAGAAATGTGACAGTGTTTAATGAAAATATTCGTGAGTCACTGTAAGTGTTTGAAAAAAAAAAAGCTTACAGCCTTCTCTTCGGGCGTCTTGTGCTGATATCCGCCGATCGGATCGTCGGTGATGTAGAACGGATGATAACGCGCTGGTGTGTCCGAATTCTCGCCGCCCTCCACCACGAACGTGTACTTCCTACCGCGGACCACGTTCACTTCCGGGATCAGTAGACCGTTTATGTACCAAGAGATACCCCAACCGACGTGACCTGCGGAGTGGAAAGCAACGATTCACCAGGTCCACTGTTGTTAAGTTTCACTGTTCTAGTAGTTTTGAAATATTCTTCGAACACCAGAACTTATGTATTTGCAAACACAAAAATCCTTTCGCTAGCAAAGTGTTAACCTAAACTAGCAAAGTAAGAACCACCGAGGGTGTGATATTTCTGAACGTCGTGGGGATGTTTCATACCAGTGATAGCTGGGTAACCGTGTTTCCCTCCAGTGGGTCCCATCTGGGCGTAGAATACACCGTCTTCGGGCTCGTCGCACTGAATCGGTGGGATATCCCAGGCGTCGGTTTTTGGAGCCGGGGCGGGGGTCGCTGGGACGCGTTGTGGTCTTCTCGTCGTTACAACCACTCCTTGTGTCTAGAAGACGTTAACGTTACACCATCCACCGATCGTAGTTTATCCTCAGTCTCGAGGTGACATCAAATTTCAATGGAATTAAAATATCGCAGAGATGGGCAAATTCATTATGTAGATGAAGAGTCTCGAATAACGACTAAAGATATGGAGACGTTACTGTACTTCTTGTCGAATGTATCGACACTTGGCAAACAATTATTCAATCTCATGAACTGTTCAAAGTTCAGAATGATGCTCTACGATATTACACAGTTTTTCACTATGTATTATTCGAATAAAATTCTGCCCAACTCTTGAATGTCCCGCGATCGAGTAACCCTCTTTGGTCGTAAGCGATCACCTGACTGCCGCTGGTGTTCTCGTCGTTCCCGGCGAACAGCTGGGAGGACTGTTCTTGATCAGGAACCGGACAATTCCAGACCGGTGGTCTACCGAAATCGATGAACCGATCGGTCTTCAGGTAGTCCGTGTGGAAGCTGACCTCTTGTCGGTCGTTCAGGGGACCGATCGCCCATATCACCGCCTGCGAGCTGTTCGTCAGAATCTGATGATCGAGCTCGTCGTTCGTCTTTAACGGCCTTTGATACGTGACGATGCTGTATCCGTCCACCAGGGCGGCGTTCAACAATCGAATGGAATTCGTGTTCTCCTGCAGACACGAGACAGTTTCGGGCGAGTCAATCGAACGTGCAGGAATGAGAGTGATTTACCTGTATACGGGTGTCGGGACAACTGCCACGTCCACCGGTACACTGCGATTTTGCGTCCAAGAAATAATCTATCGCGTAGCCCTGAAGGGTCTGCTTGTCGACCCAAGCGACGACCACGTCACCGCCGACCATTAGGCTTCTCTCGGGATTCGCCGATAAACCGAACGACATGTACTGTCCGTCGTCTGTGGAAGAGTGTCGTGCGAATAGTGTTAACAGTTTGACTGCCACCATCACCCAAATATGGGTGACACGTATATAATACATTGCAAAAGAGGACTGGATTGTTTAAATACCGTTAGAAAATTGTTCGCGTGTATATTACGACACTTATCGAATATAAAGTGAATGTATAGATATTGTTCCGTGTCTGGTTACATACGACCGTTTTCACTGTATAAGTCAACGTGTTAAATCTATCGTAAATATAATCGTTCGAGACACGCCTACCATCCCCACGTTACGATCTTCGAACGATATCCACGTTCTCGAGGTACGCGTATTAATTTCGGCGAGGTAGCCACGCGAGAGAAGGGATGGCCCTTCTAAATCTATCAAAAGGTTCGTTCAACGACTACCCTCTTCGGTCCGCGCGGAATTGGACCGTGAAACGTGTGATTTTTTTATGCTCTCTTTTTTTCACGGAAGACCGATCCCATCCGACCAGGGAGTGTGCAAGCGCAGGCCCAACCTTGTTACAGCTGGTTCCACGGATTCGTCGTTAACCCTTTAACGCCCAAACATCTCTTTCAAGGGAAAAAATGATTTCTCTCGATTTGGCAACTCGAAAATGGTTCCAATAGGTGCACCTCATCTGTACTTGCACGACAAAACCTTTGGAAATATCATACTGGGTGTTAAAGGGTTGAGGAGACGCGTGTTCCCGGTTCCAAATTAATATTATTCCTGCCGCGTAATCGTGAACTGAGGGGCTCCTGAAAAAACCACGTTATCTGACGCTGGACACAGAGGCGTCCAGACGAGACGCGTTCTCTATTGTTTGAATGCAAAAGTTCGGCCGGATCTTCACGGTTTGTTCCCGTCAGAGCCGGGAGTAAATTCACGCGGAGCTTTCAATAAACGGCGATAGAAGTTTCGCCCTTTTGTGCGGAGAGGCGGTAAACGCGGCGACAGCAGCACGGAAACGTATATACATACATACATATACAACATATATACATATATAGATATATACATACACACATCCACACACACACACTCACCAAGTTTTCCAACGAGTTGGGCGACTATGCTGTCTCCGGCCACGGCCCATCGCACCTCGAACGCCAGCCTGTCCTCGAGAACTTCGCAGTTCAGTTTCGACTGAAATCAAACGACAAACCGTTTTTTCTTTTTTTTTTTTCACCATTGTTTACACGAGATACATCGATCGTTTGCGCCCAGCCTCATTGTTTACATATCCGATATCGATTCTTTCATCTTATTTTCGCGCACTTGGCCGACGCGATCCATCGAATTCGAACGGAAGCTTCGCTAAAGATGTGTTCTCGGTCTCGCGTCGTCTTGTTCCAAGTAGGGATGTTCGATTCTCTTTGGGTAACACGTCACTGCCGTATATAATATATACACTACCGAATCGAACATCCCTAGTTTTAAGTGATCACTTTCGAGGTAAGACAAAGGTTTCGTGTATGTTGTTTTTTTTTGAAGAAGAAGAAGAAGAAAAATACGTTTATTCGCATCGTTCTCAAAGTAGAAACGTACAAAAAAGTCGATAGAAAAAATAATTTCATTTTGCATGCGTGTAAATATATATATATATATATATATATAATCTATATGGTAAATATACGCTAATATCATCCCGTTGTGTCACGAAGTATCTGCACTCGGAAGTAAAAGAACTGGCCCTAGGCTGTAAAGTCTCTTCTCCGTTCTCGCGTCATCGATAGGAGAAACGGGATTTAACCACCGGTATCACAGTCGTAATCACAACTCCAATCCCTTTCTCTCTCTCTCTCTCTCTCTCTCTCTCTCCCTCTCTCTTTCACACACACCTCAAATTTTACAGAAAAAAAACGCTTCTTTCCCTCGTTTAAGAGCGAAAAGAGAGCCGACGGCGAACAAATCGCGGTGCCATTCACTCTCGCGAAGTCTCTCACTTCTCTGAATCAAGAAACGATCGCGTTTCTACTACTTCGATGTATAAATCCACTCGCAAGAAAATTTCTGTCTCTGTTCTCTCTCCCACTCTTTCTATCTCTCTTTTTCTCGCGTTCGCCACGTTTTTCGAACGCGAGGCCATCGCGCGTGGAAGGGTTGAAAGTTTCTCAAGGATGAGAAATTCAGGGTCACCTTTGTCTAGGTGAGAAAAAACAAGCCTCTCTTGCCGGAATGGGAAAACGAGAACGTCGATCATATTCTTGTACGCCCGCGGGGGAAACGACGAGACAATCCGATAGTATATCCGGACCGTCACTAATATCGACACATAGTATATTCATTGCAGAACTCGGCTGACGGCGGACACCGTGAATCACGGCGACTACTCTTATTGTTCTAGGAGAACATCATGCATCCGTTATTACGGGGGAGGGTGGGGGGTGAGAGATTACGTATATACGTACGTTCCTTGGAATAGGATTCTAGAGGGGTGATTAAAGGCATGTGTGTGTATCTCGTCCATGGGCTGCGTGTACTTCGAGGTGCCATTCTACAGGGGTGTTACGAAAGTATGATGTGCGTTGCTTGTTCAGGATCGGGGAACTGACAACCCTTTCCTTTCGTCTATTGTTCCGCGAGTTGTTCTCGAATTCGAAAGAGTTCATCGGTTCCAAGGTAACCACGTCTAGTGTTTCTTCTCGAGAATTTCTCGAAGAAAAAGTAAACTCTTTGATTTCTTATTTCTCGAGAATTTTTTCGAAATTTAAATATCCACTTGCAACAGAATCGAATTGAATGCAAGGATATATTATATTATTATCGATAAATTTCTTTTCTCGAGAAACGAAAAGTATCGAGAATTCAGAAACAGTAATCACGTCGATTGGATAAACCCTTCCGACACGCCTGTTTATCGCGAAAAGAACTTTTTCCATGAAAATCCCTCTGCTATATACCTATATCACGGACGTGTACGAACAGTTATTTGTATTCCGAGACCCCCGTTTTAATAGATAGCCGTCGCGCAACCAGGGGGGAGGTCCTGGATAAACAAAAGAGGGTGGATGGGATCTCGTTGTGTAACTCCTACCTCTATCGGTCCTCGAAACTTTCCGAAGTGGGCTGTGGCACGCGACCGGCCGAGCAGAGCAACTTCTCGAACGATCTCCTCCGGCTAATATTATCGCAGCTGTGCCACCTGAGCTTTCCGGTTGCGGCGACGGAGAAACGAATTGTCGGTAAACGTGTATATGGCGGAGCAAGCTTACAGAGAACTTTCGCCGCTAATTTGTCGAGACTCTGAGAAACTTCTGACCGAGTTCCGTTTCTGAAGGGCTGTGTATCGAGTATACGTCGGGAAATCGTTTGGAAATTCTTTCTTTTTGGATCTCAGCTCGACACACGCAACACACACTCACATATACCGTGTGACTGGGATGTGGGTAAAGGCGAAAATGTTTCCTGTTGGTAGTGAATCTGACGAGCGATATGAAAAACAACGATTTAAATGAACTAATGTAGGTGGTACACAGTTCGAATGATTTCTACCCCGGCTGATTGTTTATTCAATGGAGGAAATATGTATCTGGACCACAGATTCAGAGTGTATTAAATCACACTTTTCAAACTTCAGACGGGAAAAATTTGTAAAAATTTATATATATGTTGTGTCTTGTACTTTTTTATTTATTTTTGGAGGGAATACTTGAATTTCTGAACTGAAAATGTGGAGACCTACTTTATATTAGTGAAACTACGTGTTGCAATGGTTATTTTTACCATTGGAAAAAAAAATTCTACTTAATACAGTCTGACTTCTGGGGCCCGGATATATTCGAGTAGTCCCAGATGATCACGAGCGATTATATTACATAAACGCTATAACATCCTGGATATTCGAGGTACGCAGCAACGATTTAAAGTACGCGATCCCATCAAACGCGTTAGTAACGAACGAAAGAGTCGAGCCTTCGGTCCCCTTGGAAACGCAACACTCTCGCGTACGAGTTCGTCTGCGGCTCGTCAGCCAACTGACGCGTTTTCGAGCGTTCCGCTGGTGGGCCAGCGTTGAAACCTGACGCTACCAAACGGGACGATTGCACCTGATACGCGGGATCGTCTAGATTCGCAACTACGTCGTCGTCCTCGTCGCCGTAACGAACGATCGCGGCGGCCTCAGTCTCCTCGTTCGGATAGGAACTCGGCGAGAGACGATGGAGTTGTTGCGCGAAAGGTTCCTGGGTCTGCAGGCTCTTTGGTATTCTATAGTCGATCGCTTGGACCACCTGGACCGTCTGATCGTCACGACGAAGGATTGGTCGATAGGTTGTCGGACGTCGGTGCGGCTGTTTTGCGGGCAACGCGTTCGCGAGCGAGGAAGGAGACGGCGTTGACGACGAGGACGACGGCGACGATGACGCAGTAGACGGCTCGTACAGGTTCGCCAGACCGAGAGTCTGTCCCTGCCCTCCGCGATGCACGTTCTGCAACACAAGGACAGAGACAGGGGTGTTATGCCGTGGGCCCTTTCGGTAGCGAGCAAAAATTTCACGGATGTGTAAGATCTATTCTATCGATCGAATTGCCGCGTTCGGATGCACCGTTTACTTTGAATCACCAAGGACATCTTTCGCCTCGGGGAGATTTACAGGAGGAAATCTCCAGATTGGGGATATTTACGTAGAACTATATTTACGTGGATCTACTGGAAGGTATCTCCAGATTCGCGATATTTACGTGGAAAATCCGTGAAACGACGCGTGAACGGGTTGTCGTCCGAACGAACGACTTTCCGTCGACGTTTAAATATTGACGGGAACAAACTTCCACGCGAAACAACGCCGTAAGTCTACGTTCGGTGGTCCCTACCAGAGAGAGGTACGTCGTTTGTGTCCCTACAGGGTGTCCCAAATGATGGGACATGCCGCAATATACATATTCCTCGTACACGTACGAACCGAAAAGTCTTTTACCGTTCTGTAATCTGTGAGATCGCTTCAAATTACGAAACGGTAAAAGAATTTTCGGCACGTATTTGAACGAGGAATATGTATATTGCAGCATGTCCCATCATTTTGCGACACCCTTATAAACAACGAGCTACTGGTGTTTCTGTATTGTTCTGTAGAATTTCCCTTGTAAGATTTACCGACGACCAGGAGGAATTCGGTAACTGGGACACTGTAGGTTTATCGTATTGGAAGAAAGCGACAGCGAGCAAGACGAAAAGAAACGCAAAGTCCGTCTCGCGAGATGTCGACGGAATATGAAACTACTACGACTGGCGGTGGAATGTTCGTTCTGGGGAGAGTTTATGGGACGTGACAGACGCGGGAGCATCGGGAGAGTCTTCGAGGCTAAAGACGATGTAAATCGATCGGGGGAAACGGGTATAGAAGCCTGTACGAATCCTTTTCCTTCTGTCAGCTCGAACGTGATCGGCATGGAGACTCGCGTTCTTGTAGAAAATCGTAATATCTAGGCGGGTACATGACGCTATAGCCTACACGGTGCAGATACTTCGAGACTGCGATACGATTCGATAGATAACGTGTAAAAATTGTGCTTCCCTCAAAATGAAACGAAACCGGTAAGGTGTCGCGCGCGAGCTGGATAGTGGCAAGATTGATAGAATTCTACCTGGCGATCACTTGAAGCGTTCAAAAGTCGCACGTCCAGAGGGGGCACAATCACCGAAATGCATACACAAACTGATCGACATGTAGCAATGCTCGCGACGCTCTCGGACACTTCGAACGACCTCTTAACACTAGAACTACCAACGTCGAATGTATACTAAATTAGATAATTAAAATGTGCCATAAATTAAGAGTCAACATAAAAATTCCTAGAAAAGTACCTTTACGATCACAATTATTGTGAAGCAAGAAGTTTGAAATCCGTTATTAGGACGAGTTTGGTGGTTCTAGTGTTAAGATAAAAACCGCATAACCTGAAACCAGAGAAGGGCAAATTCATTGTCTGGATACTAATCGATTGAACGTGGAAATTTCGATTTTTATAATAAAATAATACTTTTCGAATTAGGAGACACTTGACGAACAATTACTTTTAATCTGATAAACTAGTTTAAAAGTCAGGAGCGAAGTTCTCCTATTTTTCATTATGTACATATATTATTCGAATAAAAATTTGCCCACCTCTGCTTAAAACCTCGATATACACTCCTGCTCATAAGTATTAGGACACTTATCTAGTATGTACCGAATGTTACAAGTCATTACGAAATTGCTGAAAGTCTGAAATAAATATTGTTCAGGGGATATTAAAACTCGATGGACAATCCACGTGTCGTATCACTGTATCCACATTGATACACAAGTGGATACGCACCTTGAAATACATACATATATCATTTTTACGAAACATCACATTTTCCATATACAGATCAAGTGTCTTAATACTTGTGAGCGGTAGTAGTGTATACATACGTATGTCGTGGAGACGTCACCGTGCGAAAGTTTTTGAACGTTCGAGTTGTGGTGCGTTGTCGTTTCTCCTCGCAGCCAGCCTGAGAGACTACAGGAAGGCGTTCCAGCTTACCTGCGGCGAAACTCCGAGCATCTTCAGGGACGGAGGCACGTTAAGGTTCTGTGGGATTTGTACATGGCCGAAGTCGACAGCGAACGCCTCGCACCAGACACCGAAGTGACCGATCTGATGAACGGTCAGATCCCCCGGCAACGTGAGCACGATTGCTTTACGATCGTAACGTCGTAATGGCACGATCTTCCCGTTCTCGTCCGGCACGCGGATTCCTTGCGGCGACGGCGACGGTCCGACGCCCACCCAGAATTTCGCGTCTATGGAACATTATCTGTTATATACCGTATCAAAGTGTTTCAATTGGATTGTCGAAGGTAAGAATTGGTCCATAGATCGTTGACCCTTGGGGGATTTATGATAAAGATTGTTCCTAGAGGATCGTGGTTACGTGGAAAGGAAAGGATAGCCTTTTGGGTAAGAGGACAGTGATGGTGGATCCTGCAACGCATTTCTGGGTCTCGTGGAATTTCACATGGAAAATCAAAGGGACTCTGTTGAAATATTTCTGTGGGGGATGAAGAATGCGTGTCAGTCGAACGAAGAAGGCGAGAACTCACCCGGCGCTTCGCCGTCGTAACTGAAGCCGGGTATCAAGAGGGTCTGAGCGTCGACGACCACGATCGGCTCGGAACTGACCCCGTGTATACCGCTCAGAGCCGCGAGTTTCTGCGGTTTCGGATAGTCGAATCCTCGCGGTATTCTGACGTCACCGAAGTTCACCTGAAACACACAGATATGGTGCTGGACTTTCGATAGTTTTATCGGCTCAGAAGGTTCTCTGATAGGCGAATCGAATCCAGATTCGCGGAAACGTTGTCCGCGTGGCCGCGCTGACAACCCGAGGCGATTACTTTCTATCGTACGCGGACGACGACGACAACGACAACCGCGACACGTGAAAGTTGTACGACAGGATGTATGTATACCGGTTTTTTTGTACCCGTTGCAAAATGGAATCGACGTGGGCTAACCGAAGGTCACGAGCATGGATAGCTACGAGTATATACATATGTACGTTTACTCACGGCGAATTCGTAGCACCAGACCGACAACCATTTCACGTTGTTCAGGGTCTTGCCGTCCGGCAACGTGAGCGTGATGTCCTTCCTACGGTATCGTCTCAACGTCTCCGTTCTGTAGGAAACGTAAAATATTTGTAGCCGCCAGGCTCTTTGTCACGTTTGTTTAATATTAGATGGTACCGAATAAGTATCAAGTCATCCCATCGGTAATGCGAATTTTCTGTGAGAATTTGTGGAACGGAAAGATTGGTATTGAAAAGTAGGTATAGAAGATGGCGAAATGTTGTAGAAAATGATGAAGTATATACATGTACAAGTAGAAGATTAATAGTTTTAATTACGGTTTTGTACTTCACTTTCTATAAACATCAATGAAAATTCGCATTATTTATGGGATGACCTGATAATAATCACGACGATACGCAAATACAAATTGCATCGAAAGTATATGAAGACAGTGAGTCACTGCATTTCTAGACTTTCGAACATTTCTATTTAATAATTCTCTCTCCCTCTAACGAGAATAACAGAACAAGTTTTAAGCAAAGAAGTTGATAACGACACGAGGCGTAAAGAATGGTCCCACTCACGATCCACGCTCGTCCCGTAGCCTGATTCCATTACCGTTCGGGCTCTTCGACGTGCCCACGTAGAAATAGGCGGCTGAAAAGACGACAAAATTATAATCACCGATGCCGGTTGATTCGCCAGGGATTATCCACATTATTCTACATCGTTCAGAGAGATCAGCACGGTCGATCGTCCGGTTCTATCATTGTCATTCGTGTACGCGCCACGACTTCGATTTTATCGAGCGCGGCGTGCATGTGGAAAGTGAGAGTAACGAACGGAGAGTCGAAAGGGAGAAGTAGGAGAACCTTTTACGGTCGCCAGCCTGGTTCTCGACTTTAACGCTCCGATTCGATTTCTCCGGTTCGGTTTACAAACGTAAGGATAATACTTTTCGAAGAGAATAGTGGAAGCGAAAAACTTGATGATCTGGATGAAAACAACTCGTTTCAATCGACAGATATTTTCTGTCCTTCCTCTGCACTAGGAGATGATTCTCCAGGCTGGTAACAAGGTGAATGATATTTAATTAAATGACAGAAATATCTGTTCATTGACACGATTTATATCCACCTAGAATGCTTATTCGTTCCACAGTGCGGACGATTCGAACCTGTAAGTTACCACGAAATCGTAATCGATAGGAACGAGACCGGTAAGGTTTCCGGTGAAACGTGACGATCGGTTCTTCACGAAGGAACAAGAAGACCGTGAAACGTCTTAGGTCGTGGTTCCTGATCGACGTCGAGGCATAATCGGTCGATTTTGTCGCGGGAATCGGACGATCGACGCACATCGATTGCGCTACGAGAACACGGGAAAGTTTCGGGCGGATTGGGTACCGCTTCTTGGTTACGAACTTGGCGCCTCGCCATCGTACGTGAAGTCCTTGATGAACAGTGTTCGCCCGTCCACCGCGTAAACTTCACCGCTGACACCGTGATGAAGTTCCGACAGCTTGCCGATATGCTTCCCGTAATAAGCCTCGCTGCATACCTCTGTAAACATACACGGGATATCGTGATTGATTGTTACATGATTAATTGGACGTGGGAAAGAAGAAATCGTTAGGTTAAACGCGAGTGTCCGATAGTTGCAATCGCATCTTTGAGTAGATAGAGGAAGATTGTCAAATTTTGACCATCGTTCAGGTTGGTCCACTATTTTAACTTGTCATGTGTAAGCAATTCGCGTCGTATGTTAGACAATCCTTGTATGTTGTCATTAAAATAAAAAAAGGAAACACGTTTTTTTTCTAGGGAATATAACTAACTAGATTCTTCTCGAATGTTTGGTAAAAGGAATAGGGGGTTACTACGTTCACCAGTTGACAAACGATCGTCGACAACGTTCACCGCATAATTAAGCAACGGATACACGCGTGCGACTCCGGCAACGAAGATCGAGAACCGGTCGTATGCATAACTAAATCGTCCATCCAGGATCGCGCGGGCCAGTTAGAATAATATATTCCGTCGGATGCGGGTTACCGATCCCCATCCTACCGCGATCGATGGTTAACGGTAGTCGATGGACGCCTCATCGACTAAGCGCGCCTTCGAAGATCGATTCCGCCTGGATCGTTACGAATCCGCGTACACGGTATGCAAAATCGACTTCTCCTGAATGCCTGAATCCAGGACCTGGGTGATCGGTGTCACCGGGAGAACCGATCAGTGGAAACGAACGATCTTCTTCGGTGTTTCGATCGTCGACGACTATTCTCTCTCTTTCTTTGGTACATCGAGTCTTTCCTCTTTGGCAGCGATCCGGTCAGAGTCGGCCAGGAGGAAATCGGGGGCCTTATAAATATGGATCAGACACACACACACACACACACGCGTACATACATACATATATACAGGCTGTCTGCGCGAACTGTCCACAATCCGTTATTTCCGAAACTATTTGAAATACGTGGAAACTGTTCACATAAAATTGAATGGCACGAGAGCGCTAATTAACTGACTATGACGAATTGTTAACGAAAAATCTCCATAGCCCGTTAATTGGCCCCTTCGTGCCATTCAATTCTATGTAAATCGTTTTTTCGTATTTCAACTAGTTTAGGAAATAACGGACTGTAGACTGTTCACGCGTACACCCTGCACAGAGAAACACACGTCAAGGCCAATCCTTCGGCGTAGGATCGTGGATAGATGCTAACGAATCCAGAGGGAAACCGGTCGAGAATCGGTCCCTCTGTGTGCATCTAACCCCCTTTGATCGAGAGCGGCTACGCGTACCGTTACAACTCTCACAGGCGGACAGGATATCGTCCATCCGACGAGATTGACGCGTGCACAGGCATAAATCGTTGGATCACGACGTTCGGTCGGTTTTCCACGTAAAGTCAGGGTAGAACCATCGCCGTTAATGCCTTGTGGGTCCCAGACCTTGCGGTGTAGCGGTCCCCGTTCGAGAATCGGGAAAAAATCACCCCTCCCCCCTGAGAAAATTAGATATATGTCCTATGAGAGAAACTGACACGAGAGCAACGACGCGTCATCGGTTTCGTCGGTGCCGTTAACTGTCGCTTGTAATCGGCGATGTAACGCCGCGTGTGTACACACGGGAGAGAGATTGTCGCGCGTACAACGCTATTTTTTCCACGTTGCTGTGACGCGTGGTATTTGATAATTGGAGAAAAAATACGTTGTTACAGATGGAACTTAGAACTTGACGGATGAATCTTACATTCTGGTGTACACTGCCTGGCATAAGTATAAAACCAGCCTAATATTTTCAATCCTTATGTATTGTGGTTAAAACAAAAAACAGACCAGTTGTTTTTCTAGGGAATATAATCAATAGGGGAATAAGTTTTTCTCGCGAAACCACGAACCCCATTAAGATTTTGCCACACGTCCTAGACAAATGATTCGTGGTATCGGAACAATCGTGTGTGCTTTTTACATATCTACACGCGAAACACGATAAACGCGAGAGGGGGAAACAAGGGGGTAGCTGAAAGCCGCGCAGCGGAATGCTCGATCGATCAAGCGGGGCTGGGCTGATTGGACGTAGGCAGCGACGACGACGCACGGTCGGGTTCTCCAAAGAGAATCCACGCAATTCTCGTTACGCGTGTTTACACCGGCAGATTGGCCCGCTCGATCAATGACAAGACTCCGCGGTACCGTGTGATTATACGTTCCTCGGGCCACTTAATGATCAATCCCGCCGTTTCTTTCAGACTGTAAAGCAGCGATGGGCAACCGAGTCCGCTCGGGCATGTTGCCCGCACGGGCAAGTGGCAAGCAACCGCAGGCTCCTGTGGAGGCGATGCGAGGCAGGAAACGTCACGACATATTTCCCATCCCTTCCGCACATTTTATTCTAAACTAGAGTATCACTCGCATAGATTAATAATCATTTATGTTTCTTTCAAACAAAAATAAAAGCAACCTAATCGTGTGTCGGCCACGCGAAAATATTGCCTTTATATTAAGTAGTATTATGTACAAGTAGTATTTAAGGCAATTGTTATTAAATTTATACAAATACCAATATAAGTTGTACATTTTCTTACGATTTTTCAATAAAAAAACACGATATCTGTGCTTCATAAATTGCAATGTAAGTTGTACATTTTCTTACGATTTTTCAATAAAAAAACACGATATCTGTGCTTCATAAATTGCGCACGTTCATGAACTGCATTTCGGGCCGAGCTTCCAGTATGGAACCCCTCAGATCCTACGAAAAACAGGGCAGAACGAAATCCAGCCACGAATCTAGACTCCTGGTTCAGAGTTGGGCACAATTTTATTCGAACAACACATAGTGAAAAACAGCTGTGCCTAAAGGTGTAATCCTGAGCTTTAAACGGTCGCTAAGATTAAATAATTGTTTGCCGAATATAGATTTACTAAAGTAGTATTAATTTATTACGAAAATTACAATTTCCACGTTTAAACGTTTCAAAATGTCGAGGTAGTTTTTTAAATCTCTTATCTTTATGCGAAACTTTTTATCTGGATAATGAATTTGGGCATTTGTGTCCTGGTCGAAGAAACATCTTTTTAATTTCCATATTTCACAAGGTCTCTTGTCGCAATCTGGTCTCCAGACTCATTCGTTGCCTAGATATTTGTTTTGTTTTTTCCACGATTTGGAGAATCTTCACGGTCCATCGCGTTTTGAATGTTTCGGCAACGAGCCTCGATTCCGCGTTTTCCATACAACATAGGGCCTGGAGGGTCGATTAAATTGACGGGCCACACGGTTTCCGCGCGATGATGGATCCACCCGCCGCGAATCTGGGCCATCGGCCGTCCATAGACCTCGGCGTATCAATCGCTAATGAGAAGCCGAACCGTCAAAGCACCGCTCTCCGCGCTCGCTGCTGGGGAAGCTTCAAGAGGATGCATTACGTCGTTCCGGCCGCGAGCCATTAGTACGTAATTACCGTCGCGGTAACGACAGTGCAGCGAACGTGATTAAATCGTTACCGAGCGTGTGGGCTCTGGATACGTCGAAACCGCGGGAACGGCGGGAGGAGAGAAGAAAAATCTGGGCGAGGACGACCAGACCGCGGAATCGAGAGAGGAAATTTTCGTTAAACGCGACGGACCTAGCGGGACCGTGTTATACATGCCAGGATGTTTCCGAATACATGGAATGAAGTGATTCTTAAACGATTTTTTTTTCTTGTGATGTTTCGTTTTAGAGATAATCGAATTTGGTAAACTGTCGGATATAAGGCATGCGATTGAGTAGGACTTGGTTAGGGCTGTCTGTTCTTTACAGTCTGTTTCTACTTACTGCTGCTGGCCGAAAGTATGGAATCAGGGGTCTGATAATTAGAGAAACATTATAATAATATTCTACAAAGTTTTGATAAAATAACTTTAAAAAATTAAGTAAACTTGTATTACAGTGCAATAGTGAAAAAGTCACTAAGAAAGAATTGTTTACAATCTCGAAGATATTCATTTTTCTACCCATGTTTATCAGGATTCTTTTTCATCGTTTCGAGAGTACTCTCTCTACCTTAGAAGTTATGAACCCTTTTTTTAAAATCACCCTCTATATCGCGGATCTAACAGCGACAAATGGTTGAAAATTTAGGTCAACGACAGGTTTGCCTGTGACAGCGAAAGAGTTGTGACGGGGATACAGAGAGATACATATCGGACCTTTGACATTTTCATACGAAAGAGAAAGCAGAAGGCGGACAAGCGTAATTGTCAGACCGTGCATGATACAACTCTCCGGGGCTAATGTCGCAACGATTGTGTATTCTCCGGCGGATTCGCCGCGATAACGGAGAAACCAGCTGCCTAAGAATCGCGATCTAACCGCGATGTAATCCGCGCGAGCGCGAACGCGTTCGGGAACAAACGATCTTCCCACGTTTCTCGATTCATGAAAAATCATTTTCATTCGACCAAAGCAGGTGAAATCACAATCCTGTTACGTTATGGATTCTAGTGTTGGATGGCCGACTTCATGACTCACTAAAGGCTCTAACAATAAATGAGTAAATTCCAGACGATCGAAGGAGTATCCGACCTGAAATCGAATATTTCGTTCCTTCCAAGGATCTGTGAATCAGCCACGAAGACGTTTCTTGTGAACATTTTATTGTTCCCCCTCTGTTCAGCCTGTGGACCCACGATTAATTATTTACGTGTACATATTCATACGCGGCGGAGCCAGTCGTGCGCGACGCGATATCAGGAGAACGGGATAAAAATAAACGCGATCGGTTAGGTTATTCACGTGGGTACGGTGATCGAATGTGGAAACGTATTCCCTCCCTCCTTGTTCGTTACACAACTCGAAGCAACACAAGTATTATCTATCCTTTCGATACCTGTGTTCTCCACGCGGAAATCACTGGTCCAGGCCACTAATAAATCGATCGTCTCTTCTTCGACAATTCAAAGTGTTTGTTACGGTTTAACACGTTTACGACGGGATGCACCACGGGTGGTACAGACACAACTGATGGAACAAAGTGTAGATAATAGACTCGCCCCACGGCGAGTAA